GGGAATGTAACGTTTCAACACCAAGAACTATGAGATTTTTCCAGCCAGGTAGAAGAATATTTGAATAGATTCATATTTAGAATGATTCACTATTCATTTGATCGTCAATCATATAATCTAGTATCGCACTTCATTTCACACTGAAAAATGTATTCGATCACTACACTGGTGTCAATGAGAATGGATTTATTTCATTTCTGTGTGTTTCTCAGTACGTCGCAAGGTGTTGGTTTTCGAGAATAGTTCAGCGAACTATTTGAATCTGATCAGTGTCTCACTAATTCATTATCTCACCCATCATCATTCATGTAAACCAAGTTAACAGTTGGCTTCATTACGAGATTTATCTGAACAAAATCTTACTTGAACTAATTCATTAGTCATACAATATTCAATTATGTGTTTAACTGTCACTTGCTGTTCGTTAATAACATAAATGAATAAGACTTTGGTTAGAATAATTCATATTTCATGCGGTCTTTAATCTTATGTTCTGATGAGAGCGAATGCATCAGAATAAAATAAATGGACTCGAGATTGGTTAGGATAATTCATCTGCCATACGCTGTTTAATTATTTATTCTGATGTTAGCGATTGCATCAGAATAGCATAACTGAACAAGGATTTGGTCAGAATAATTCATATGTCATGCGATGTTCAATCATGAGCTCTGATGTTAACGATCAAATTAGAATAAAATAAATGAACTCAAGCTTAATTAGGATGATTCATCTATCATATGCTGTTGCGTATTATGTTCTACTATCATTGGTTGTTTTAGAGTAAAATAAATGAACACGGCCGTGCTTAAGATAATTCATATGGTATGCGCTGTTCAATATTGTGTTCTAAAGTCATCGATTGTTAGAGTGGAAAATAATTGAACACGATCTTGCTTAGGATTATTTATTCGCTATGTGCTATTCAATCTTGTGTTCTATTGCCATCGATTTCTAAAGAGTAGAATAATCGAAGACGACTTTTCTTAGAATGATTCACTTGTAGTGTAATATTTTAACACGATGCTTATAGTTAATATTTGACTTAGACATGCATGAAAACGAATAGGTATATTGTTATTGCTATGCATTTTTTGGGTAGACCTTCCTCATGAGATGTGTCTTTATATTTTTGATGCAATAATAATCATATATATGAACAGAAACCTCTCAATTGGAATGTTTCGCTTGAAAAATGATATTCGATGAGATGATATAGAGGCGTACTTTACTTCAAAGTGTTTGGTATATTTGAACAAAGCTATATTTTGAATAATTCATCGGTTTTGTGATTTAGCACTACATGATGAACTTTCACATTGAATTCTCGATAAGTTACATAAGTAAAGAGAAAGCAAGGATTGAAACTAGTCACTTGTGATGTATTCATTATCCATTGAGTGAATGATGCACTAGGCTTTGCTTTGAGGAAGTTTTTTGAATAGATATTTGCTCAAACATGTTCACCTAGTATATCGGATGTTCTATTTGAGTAACACATAACTATTAATTGCAAATGACTGATATACTTGAATAGAGTTATACTTAGAATTATTCATTTGTGCGATAATCTGTTTCCTCATAGTAACAAGAGAAATTTGACTTCACGGCTAATGGTATACATGAAAGGACAGATTGTTGCTGTTGTTCGTTTGCAAGGTGATTGGTAGTTATATCACAAAGCGTATTTTCAATTCAAAGCGTTGACGATGAATTGAACAGGATACTTGTTAATAACATACAGTTCTTTGGTGTTTTTTCGATCAGATAATACTTGCGATGATTCACTTCAAAGTAAGTATTAAATTGGAACACAAATGTTGCTGTGGCTATTCATACGATACAAGATTAACAAAGTGACATTGTGTTATAGATTGATCATTGAGTTTACAACAAACGAGAACACATTTTAAGGTGAAGGCTTAAGATTAAAAACTATACAAGACATTGGCCAAATGATTTTGAACATTACATGCTCTTATTTGACTTCTTTATATACTCTTACCGAACTTCTTATCTTCATAAACTTTTAATGTTATATGGATGCACTCTAATATTGAAGAGTGTTTGTGTCATTCTTACTTTCGAAAAGATTTTTCAACATTTAAAAAATCTTACCTAACACAAACTCTAATTGATCTTAGATTACTTTCATATAACATAAATTTACTAATCAATGGTGAAGGTTTTATTGGTAGTTAGTCTCCTAATTCTCAATTGCTTCGTTCAAGTTTTTTTCTCTCTATTTTTCTAAAGCATATATCATGCTTTTTGCCTTTTAAAAGTCTTTTTTTTTACATTTAATCATCAATTATACTTGTTTTAATATTTTCAATAAATACTCTAAATGAAAATACGCCAAAATTATATGAATTTATCGAAATGATTATTTTCCAAGTTATTGAAGAAATGGAATGTTGCAAAATTTTGATCTTACGCATCTTATCAATCTCACCAAGAGCCATATCACTATATCTTATACCTACGAGAAGGATATTTTATGTTTCGTCTTTTTCTGAAGGTGAATAAAAGGATGCGATAAAAGTTATCCAACATCTGTTTTTCTTTTTCAAATATCTCAGCAAAAAATATAAATAACTCTATACTTTCTATTACAAGATACAACACTTGATTTATGTAGGCTATCTTAGGCCAGAATTCGAGTATTTCGCGAATGGATACGCTATCAAGATTTTTCCAACCTACTTCAACTGGTTTGCAGAGTAGATACCTAGTTCAGGCTCGAATATAAGTGAAATTTTCGTAAACAAATAAGGAACATAGTAGATAAAAACAAAATAAAAACGTTATTTCTATTATAAATTTTAATTCAGATACCATGTTGATCAAAATGTCATATACATATATCGGTATTTATCAGACGATCGTTCGAGTCACTACATGTTGAGACTAACATAACAGTAAATATATGTCCTATGTTACAGTGGGCACTACAAATTTCAGCTTGTGTGAAATTCAATGCCTGGTATTACTTTTCAAAAAAGTGATGCAATTTCCAAATATTCAGCATGCATACAGATTGTATTTAATTGCAGAGGAGAAATGATTCAAGCCGTCGTATGACATATTTACACGCATGTTTGGCCAGCGTAGCTAGAATTTATGGTAAAATTTCCTGATATAATGTGAATCAGAGACAATTTACTTTCTTTTTATATTGACAGAATGTGTTCTGCAGAGTAGTGTTTGTATGACAGTTAATTGGATAAATGTTTCGATGATTTATCTAGAATAAATGAATAGATAAGTGATTGGATAAAATGACATAAAAGTAGAAAAATATTTCTTTTTAATAAAAAAAATGGAATATAATGTGAGGAAGCATGTTTGAAAAAGAATCTGTTTTTCTGAATAAGAGCGATAAGAAAATCAATGAAATACTTTTTAGATTGTTGATTGTTCCCTTCTTGTTAGCGTCTCTCGTGCAGGTTTCTTATAGATTAAAAAGTGCTCGAATGTACAGTTTGTTTTCAGTGTTAAATCAAACTTTAACATTATGTACTGGCAATCATGGGTACTTATAATATGTTTTCTACTATTTGCAGAATATTTTTGGTAAATTAATGGTTAGCCCACTGTCGAAAACACCACATCTCCCAAAATGTTAGCACACTTTTTATTTTGCATATATCTCAGCATAGATAAATGATAAAAATCTTGAATTTTTTTAAAAGATGTATTATAAAATGCTCTACGAGAAATACCGAAAGAAATCCCTACTAACATGTTTCGATGATATTTTCTATACTCGGCATGAAATACCTACATATTATGCTACTTCCTACCATATTAATTGGTGGGGCAGATTAAATGTTCGTGCTTAGCA